GAGGTTTAGATGGAATCCAAGCAGAATTTGCAATGAAACAATACAAGTCACATCGTTCTGTTCTAGAGACAGTATATAGAGATGTGGATAGACAATTTGAGAGTTAAAATTTTTTCCTGATGTATATATTAATATAAAAAAAATAAATTTTGTTTATTGCTTATTTTGGAAAGATCATCAAAATTTTAAAATTGAAACAATTGGATGTGTACTTGTGACCGGCACTGTACTCGTAAGGAATTGTCCACTATGATCATTTCTAAATTTAGGAAAAATTATTACCAAATTTAGACTAGCTCTTGACTATCGTATCTAAATTTGGCAGTAACAAAACTAAAATCATGTGAAGTCCTATTTTTTGAAAAATTTTATTACATTTTTGAACGAATTACAAAATTGCTATTTTTGAAATTTGGCCGCATGGCGCAGCAATAGGGGGTCTTTAGACCGAGCCAACCATATATAGGAAGATGGTCGTGATATTTAGCGCATCACATGACTTCCGTAGTAAGTTCGTCCTAATTGTCAATATTAACTGGGTAATTGATAGGTCCAAGATTTACTATCTCGCAATATAAAATGCAACAATTGGGATCCAAGCTGACCTCAATTTACTATTACTATCTTGTATGGCATTTATTTGGATCATGTATACAGGTCACTCCCATTATAAGGACAGCTCATTATAGTGACAATCTCGTTATAGTGATATTTTTTCAAAAACACACTTTATAAATATAAATTCTTGAGGTTTGTATTAGTTAAAGGTAGATGATATGGTTCTTATTTAAATAAAAAGAAAGCCACCTTTTAGTTTTGAATTAATAAAATGATTCTTGCATATTAATAATAGATTGAAATCTAATTATCTATTATTATTATTATTGTATTGCATTTTGTAACTTCCGTCATGTAATAGTGATGACGACTATGGCAAATAAAGTTGGTTTTTATAAATTTTATAATGCAACAAAAAACCAAGCAAGAGTCAAATTAACAACCTGCAGAAATTTCAAAAGTAAAAATAAAACTGTGTTTAACAATGATTATTGAATTATCTGTAATTTGTTTTGTTTTTTACCAAAATGATTGAATTGGAGATGTAATGTTTTGAAACAAGACAAAATTAATATATGCTTATTTACCTTATTTAAATACCAACCAAGTAAAGACAAAGATTCGTAAAACATAATCATGAATGCAGAGTTCATTCAAACAATTCAAACAACGTTTTTTTAATTGATAACAATGCAACATGACAATTACATTTCATAGAGTGAGAAATGAACCATACATGTTAGCCAAAATTGTTTTTACATTTGCCAAATATTTTGGCAACATTTTGGCTTTTCCATATTCCCTATATTAAAAAACCACTAAGAGAATCAAAGAGTTCAAATAATTCTGAATATAATTTTGGCTGGTATGAAAAACTATTTTGGCACTTCGAATTTGGTGACAATCATTTACTGGGTGTTATAAATCATAATAATAATAAACTCGATCATAGTTGAGCACACACAAAAAATTATATATGCGGATTTTTCGTTGACCAATATATGTAATATAAAAATACAAACTCTATCTCCTCCACGCTTTCCAAATAAACCTCCAATTAAAATTGGCATATAAGTATTTCATAACATTTACTCCAAAACAATGTTGCTATTTTTAAAAAATTTTTTTGTTTTATTAATCCTAATATTCAAAATAAAACTTCAAACAAGAATAAAAAAAATTTTTTTTAATTTTTTAAAAATCTATCAAGATTAAGTTGAAGAGTAAGTTGCAAACCTTCATTTGATATATTTCCATAACTACATCCATCAACGATATTATTAACAAAGACAATGATAATTATAGTACAAGTAATGAAAACAACGGTAAAAATTCATTCATTAGTAATGCAATGTCAATATCCTCCTTGATTGACACGGATCAACCAAAACATATGTCATCATTTCCTATGGCACCATCATCTTCACCTCCTCAGTATAATAATAATAATAATAATAATAATAATAATCATCAAAATAATCACTCAATCTCTTTACCACTTCCAAATATTAAATCAATTCATCATCATCTTCCACACGTACAACAATCAACTCAAAATATCAACACTTTATTAAAATCTACTCCTTCACTTCCTAATGTTAATCAAACAATTGGAGATATGGGTGTGTTAAATCATTCAAATAATTCATCATTATCATCATCGCCTTCTTCTTCCTCCTCTTTCTCATCATCATCATCATCACCTTTGTCGTCATCTTTATCATCATCTTTGTCATCATCTTCTTTAGTATCCCTTAATAAAAGGAAACATGTTAAATTGTATAATGATGATAATGATCTCGAAAAGACAAGATATTTAAAAACCCTTTGTTCTTCAATTAACAATTTTCCATCAACAAAAACAGTTATCAATGAAAACGAGGACGCGGAAATTAATCAACAAAACGGACTTAATAATTCATCTACTTCATCATCGTCATCACGAACATTATCGTCAACGTCACCAATTCCAATATCGTCATCGCCGTCAACAGCAATTACGACATCATCAACATCAATGCCAATGAAATTACCCAGTTATCGGTATCAACCGATAACAGTTTCATGTCATCACACGACTGTTGCACAAAAATCTTATGGTAGTGAGAAAAGATTTTTGTGTCCGCCACCGGTAGTAATCTTTAATAGACAACAATCATCAAACTATAGCAACAATAGTAATAATTTTAATGTTAACCAAAAAAAACTTGAACTATCGATGGCAGTATTATGTGAAAGCGATATAAATTCATCAGAACATAAAGTGTCACTTGACGACGATATGAATGGTACATTCAAATATTTGTACGTTAATGGAACTGCTAAATCTAAAACTTTTACACTTCAATTGAAATTATTTGAAAAAGAATCCTCGATTCCACATCTAACAATTGATTCATCACCTGTTACTATCATATCAAAACCATCAAAAAAATCAGCTAAAGCAAAAAATATTTCATTATGTATTTTGTCTGGATCTGAAGTTTCGCTATTTAATCGTATCAATTCACAAACTGTACGAACTAAATATTTGGAAATTGAAAATGGAATATTATGCGCAACAAATACTTCTTGGTCACCATTTAAAATCACTCTTTTAAATCAAAATTATAACAATGATTTTATCAATTATAATAATAATAATAGCAATAATTCCACGAGTAAATCTCGCAACAACACTAACACTACAATTAATAATAATGATAATAACAATAGCAACAATAAAACTCCACTTATTACTTATGGATCTGAAATAGTTTTATCACATCCCGAGACAGGATTTAGATCTGATAAATTGATTATTTGTAAAGTCGAAAAAAGTCGTATTTCGCAAAATGCAATTGGTCCTGTTAGTCAAATGCAAAAGGTAGCATTAAGATATGCCGGTCCAAATGATAGTAATAGTATTAATAATAGTAATAATAAGAACAAGATTACTGGTAATAATAATTGCACTGGACATTCTAATGGACTACTTTATTTAAGTGCTTCCGGACCATTAAAAGTTGATGCAACACGATCATCCGATGCTTGTACAATAAGCTCATTATCACCTTTTCTAAGATATCAATCATCACGTATATTTCAAATGCAAAATGTAGAATTCACAAAAGAACCATTTAAAACAGCATCATCCCCAAATAAAAATAATAATGAATCAAATCCCATTATTGAAGAAATTGATGATCACCTTTGTTGGACCATTGTTGGAATATGTAAGTTTTTTATTAATTGGTTGGTTGATAAATTAAAAGAATTATAAATTAATTTCTTTAAAATTTTTCCACATAGCTAAATTTCAATCGACATATTATGATAAATCAGATTATACTTCAATTTCAACATAAGAAAAATTTCGTTATATTCATTTGAAAGTGAGAATAATATTGATTATGCTATTGTTTATGCCAATAATAATAGTCGAATAATATTTGCAAAATATTTTTATTTTTTCTTGTAAATAGCTTTTTATAATGCAGATAAAATAATAATCTAATGAATGAATGATAAAATTAAAATTAAAATTCAAATTAAAAAAATTTTCTTTAATATTAGTACTATAAATAGCAATAAAATGCTATATAATAGAAAAATGAATATGAATATGGGAACTTAACGCCACATAAAACTACTAGTACTAGGGGTTTTAACTGTCACAACATATCCACCCGATTTCTGCAAGGTTACATAATTTTATACTGTTTTGGGGTATCTTGATATGTGTAACCTGCCCCTCAATTTGTTATTTTTGGAGTAAATATCCCTATTTTAATAACAAACCAATCACTTTTATTAGTAAACCAATCACTTTTTTATATATACATATAGTGAGTAGGGTCTTAGGATTGCAACTAGTTAGTTGAAGGAAATTTTATTTTGTAATTTTTAATTTGCTAATTTTTTTAAATTTTTTAATCAAGAAAACAACATAACAACAATAATGATGATAACAGCAACTTGGAAAATTGCATCATATGCAATAAATCATATAAAACAAAAAATGGTTTAGTACAACATGAAAAGAAAAAACACTTTGGATATTGTGGATATCCTCCTTCAGATATTCCTTCTCCTATTCAATATTACTTGATACAATTTAAAGAAAGTTTAATTTACAATATTAAAAAAAAATTGACATTACATCACAAAAGTTTAGGGATAAAGACATTAACTATTCCATGTAGTGAGGGTATGTTTTTAGGCGTTTTTAAAAATGATTTGGAAAGATATTACCCTGCTAGAAGGTTGTACTTAAGTTCATTCATTGGAGAAGAAGGTAACAAAAGGTTAGAAAATTTACTTGGTGATGAGGATTGGTCAATTAGATATTTTGATAATAATCAATTTGCCTACATTGACATTGTTAATTTTGAGGCAAAGGTATGGAAGGAAACAAAAATAGTAGAAGGGAATAGAAAAATTTACAAATTCTTCTAATGTAACCATTAATTTTTCTACAAATAAAGGAAGTTATTAAAAATTTAAATAATAATTTTTTTTCAAAATTAGAATTTTAAAAAAATTTAGGAAAATTTCTATGTGATCCCCAGATTATTGTTTTCCATATTTTTGTACCCCAAAATGGGTGCGCAAATCGGTGGATATGTTGTTAATAAAAAATCTTTCAATTTATTTGCATACAGTAGACTCCTATATAGTCACAACATAGTCACATTTTTTTGTTAATTTGAAAAATTCCCTGCTACTAATTAATCATAGTAAAAACATGTCTTGTATAGTCACAAACACTATAGTCACCAAAATTCTTGAAATTTCACTATTACTATGGTCCCGAGGTGTGACTATATAGGAGTCTGACTGTACCTTACTTCAGGGTCGGCGTTGGTCCATTGATTGGATCCACCGGTATAATTTAACCATATTTAGTATTCCATTAAATTAAACCAGACCAAAACTCGTTGTTCATATTAACAGTGTGTTACAAAAAAATTATTGTTTGTTACATAATAACAACAACTTTACTAAATTTGACAAATAAAATTTAAAACAAAGGGCTTGCTAAATTATTTTGAACTGATCTTGATATTTAATTCGCCTTTAAAATGCGCAATAGTATTGAATTTTACTGGGTTTTTTCGATTACAATATTATAATAAAGGGAATACGTTCACCCAACAAATTACATCGAATCAAAAGCACTCGCTCAATACTCAAATAGCTTTCACTATTAACAGTTAATTTTTTAGAAGAAATGAAATGGTCACGTGACACACACGATTAATTTTTTGATATCAAAATTATCATATAATGGGTTACGAGTCAAAATCTACAAAGTATGGATAATTCGTCATATAAACGTAATATCTAGCTCCCGATTTATTTATTTCTAATTAGTTTCATTCAATCAAAAAATCAAGATGTCAATCTGTGAAAGGTATTTAATATTAAAATATATTCAACAAAAAGTCCGTCTAATGAATGGGCTATTAACGGCGTTTCACAAATTTTTTAGTAACACAAAAAATGTTTAAATATTAAAACAAACAAACAAGGAATGCTTAATTCAAACAAAAGAGGAGAAATTATCGTAACAAAAGCTGAAACTCTTTTAGAAGAAGTACATAACAAAAACGAATTGGATCTTTTTAAATTATGGAATTTTTTAGATAATAATAATAGTGATAAAAGTTCAACGACAACTAATTTTAATAATTTAAAAGTAAAAACTATTAATAAACTTAAAGATGATAAGGTGGCCTTTAAAACGTTAAAGGAATCTATTGGCAGTGACGGCGATTTTTGGCCATTAAGCTCTAGTCTGACTAAGCTGATAGGACAACAACAACGACAACAACCATCATCATCATCATCGTTATCAAGAAGTTATAATAATGGAATCTTAGACGATGCAATTTCTTCTCTTGAAAGTATTTCTACACTCGAAGATCTCAAAATTAAGATTAATAATACAACAATTAGTGGGAATCAAATTACTGTGCTGAAAACTGCTTTGATATATCTTGCATTCTTAACTGGGAAATGGAAATGGGATCGAGAAGGAAGAATTCTTGATTTAATTTATCCCGCTTCTTTTGGCACTTTATCAAGTCAACAAAAATCCATTGCTTTAAAAACTGTACTTTGCCAGAACCATAATAATAAGGATGAAGTCATTCTCTATCAGCCTAACAGTGGTTATGTTTTTGGTGGTAATTTTTTTGGTACGATTTGTCGTGGCCTTGATTGTTCATCTTTTGTGTCTTATTGCGTGGATTCTTCTGCAAGATTGGGTACATGGCACATGAAATTAATTTATGAAAAATTATTAAATGATGAAAACAAAGATGTCAATGATGCAGTTGTGAAAAAGACTTTTTCAGAATTTGAAGCAATTGAAATTCGAGAAAACATTGACAACATTATTCAAAAAGGAGATATTGTGATTTGGAGAGGATCATCCGGACATACCGCAATCTTTAAAGAATGGATTTCTAAAAGTAAGCAGACTTTTTTAGGTATTGATAATAATCGAATGGATGATAAAAGTAGGGAGGGAATTGGTTTTACTACATTTCAATTATATAAAGATAACAGGAAAACTTTTGTTCTAAGAAAAAAATGATTATTTTATTTATTTATTATTATTATTATTATCATTATTATTATTAACACTAATCTAAGAATGAAATGTAGTTTTTTAATGTATTTCTCTGGTCAAAATCACTATTTATTTAGAAAATAAAGTAAAATATAAAAAATAATAATAAGGAAAAAGATGACACAAAAAATTTTCGTGTTATATATTTTCATATTGCATAAAAATCAGGTTTTTATACACATTTGTTACATAAATAAAATAAAATTCAAAAATCAATTTTATTAACAGGTAAACAAATAAACAATTCAGTGTTTATTTAATTTCTTTTTTCATATAAAAAAGAATTGTTTTGACAGATAAAACGTTGTTGATCTAAAATTTATTGAT